TGTTGTTGGGTATGAAAAGCAAGAGAGAGAAAGAGACAGTGGAGGTGAGAGTGGGTGTGTGGCGGCACGACGGGCTGAAACAGACTAGTCAGAGATTGGGGAAGGTCAATGGTGTTATATAACAGTGGCATTTTGACTCCAGTAAAAATAACCAGCAGTGAGGTCAGCAGAAAAGGTTACAGAGTATGTAATATTATTCTGTAAAGCAGCTAATGAAGAAGTTCTGAGTGCAGACCAATGTGTTGTGCAAGTGTTTAATGATGGTAAAAATTATGAAACAGATGGCAATGTCCAGGTAAACCACAAACTTCTGCCCACACCAGCAGTTTCTTAGCATCCAAAAGCTTTGAACTCATGAAACTGGTTTCTTAGACGAGGTTTCTCACATCACTTCCACAATCACGTTTTCACGGAAACAGACATGACCCTCATTGGAGCTCTAATGTTTGAGTCAAGGTTTACAGCTAAAGTACACCTACAAGAACAGGAGCAAAATAGAACTCTCCAAAGAAGTCCAGGTCATTTTTATTTATGATATTTCCAGAAAAAAAGTTTGTATTGTCTTTATAACTCTGATTTATTATGAGGCTGAATTACACACCTTTTCCCAAATAGGTTTCTACAGTGACCTTTCTTTTAGGGAGCAACTTTTGACCTTTATATCCTAGACACCAATTCCATCCAGGGATTGCAGGCTAGACTGGAGAGGAAAAGGTCAGGGATGCTGAGCTGTGGTTTCATCTCCTGTCTTCCGACTCAGGTTTTTGATGCCTTGAATACTGACACATTTTTGTTATACTTTTACTGCTGCTTGATCTTTTTAATATTTATAAAAGGTCCCTCTAGTAACCTTTCAATGAAATATAATATGCAGTAAATCAGATAAAATATTAGATAGATGTTTAATCTAAATCAAGATGCTTTATGCATGCACATGACAGGATGCATTAATCTGGAGATGCACTTTTTGTGCTAGTAATGTACAAATCATGCTATTGCTCAGCTAAAATACTCATTCATTTTCCCATGTTAATGCCAGTCAAAATCATTTCAGAAATGACATTAGACTACCTAAAATGTGTTAAATTTGCACTTTGTTTCTAATCTTTAAATGGATCCTGATTATATTTAGCAGAGGGTGCTGCTGACCCTGAAGAGCTCTCAAGAAGGGTCAGAAAAGGTCAACAATGCTGTGGTCAAGCAGGGCAGCGCCCCTGCACAAATGCCATGTTATTAGAGATGCATTGACGGATGTAGTTATTAATTGCTTACAAGTCTTTGGTTTTGGTGCAGTAGTGTCATGCATGGACTTGCTTTTGCTTTGGTACAATCTCGACATGCATGAACTTACTTTGGGGTCTTTCTCGTAATAACTCTGCTGTGTTCTGATCCATCTGCCTACTAAGTGGTCTCTGACTGTGTGCGCGAGCGCAAAGTAATAATCCCGTTTGGTGGATACGTTCCTGTCCTTTACCAGCGTGAAATGCAAATGACGATTAAAGTTTTTCTTTAAGTCCGACACATTCTCTACACCGGCGAGCCCCTTCACAGAAATCTGCTTCTTCCTGTCGTGGTCTGACAGTGGTTTGGACATGGTGACAGCAGCCTCGTCTTTGGATCAGGTAAGAGTGTAAAACACCAGACCGCACGCAACAGCACCCATGCCGCAATGACGGCTCTCCTTATTTAAAGTCCCCCTCATGAATATTAATTAGAGGGCGGGGTCGGTGCGTAGCCTTCTTCCAATTACATTTTCAATATAAGTTTACGCTTTTTGAACAAGAGGATATGGTGTTTTCTTTTTTACGCAGCTGTTAAATACTATGTAGCCTACAATAGAAGTGTAAATTAGCTTATTGATAAATACCCGTATTTTTTAGTTGAACAGCAACTGGGCCATTCCACCGAATGGGTGACATTTGCTTGTTGTAACTCTTCAAAATTAAACTTTATTTTTTATCTTTTTCAACATTGAATCTAATACTACACATATTTAACTATTCAAAATGTGTATTGGTCAATCTCAGGCAACTTTATTTATTTTTTACAAGGTTTAAGCAGAAGATGGGCGCATGTTTTCTCAATCCTGTTACCGAAAATCATGTCCCATTTAAAAAGCAAGTTTAAAAGCATGTCAATTAATTCCTTTGTTTTCCCCACAAGAAAGTGTTTATTTTAAAGAAATTGTTGGTTATATGTTCAAAAAATTGATATTTGTTACAATAAAATCACTATTAAGGCAAGGTGTATTTTAATAAAAAAACACAAAGCCATTTTTCCATTTTAAATAAGACCGAAGCCTCAAGTTTATATATATATATATTTTTTAATTTATTAAATAATTGTATAAATTATGGGCCAAACAAAACTGATAAAAATAGTGGTTTAATTTTATTTTTTTAGAAAAAGAAAAAAATAGTAACAGGACTGAAAGTAACAGGATTGAGTTTTTAAGCAAAAAGTTATCAAATACATGCATATGGCCACATAGCATAGATGCTAATAACATGAGGACACTGAGCCATTTCTAGTGCCTTACCAAAAGTTAATATTTTTAAAATAAAAAATGTAAATCTAAGAAAAAGTTTAGGTAACAGGACCGTATGTTGAGATTGACCTTCTCAGTCATAGTTACAATTTCATCAAATATACAGAAATTAAAATGAGAGGACTTACTTATGGTCGCCCCATTGCCTTCAGAAGATCCAAATGATGCAACTTACTGTTGAAAATGTGTCTTGTGGAATATTCTACGTTTTTCAGAGGCGGGATGTAATAGGGTAACAGGACTGAGTGTAAACCCGGGGACATGACTAAAATATGTATTTTATCTAAAAAATTTAATTTAAAAATTTAATTCTCTTTAATTTTAAAGCAGATTGGATATAAAGTTACACAACAATGCAAAAGAAATCAGATTTCTGAAGTATTTTAATCATTATATTTCATGGTAAAGTTTAGAGATAGAGAGTGGGGACATGCAGAAAATGCTATTTTTTAGTGTTCTATGCAGTTTTTATTAATTTTTTTAATTATACATTTTAAATTTGTAGTTAGCTTAATATGCATGACATTTTGCTTAATAATAAAATGTATTTTAGAGTTAATTTTCATGCAATTTTATACATATAATGTCCTGGGGACAGAAATGTCACCCTTTCGGTGGAATGGCTCAACGTACAATAGCTTGAATGTGCAGAACTCTCTGGAGCCCAAGACATTAATAGCTGCAATGACCCAGCTCAAAGGCCATGATATTTGAACGGCATGCGGCTCACATAGTTCCATATAACAGCTGAGCACCACAGCATCTGGATACAGCACCACACATGAATTCTTAACCTAAAACACAAAATAAATAATTAAACAATCAGTTTTTAGATATCTTCCTAATTTACACATTTGCACTGAATATAATCTAAATGTACAATTACATTTAAGATAAATATAAGGCAGTACAAGCAATGGAAGTTTTTTTTCCCCCAGTGCAAATATTTTAATATCCTAATCACAATCCTACGTCCAATTTTATTCCTAATTAAACAACACTAATTTCTCCTTATTCCATCAGGTGTAGGTTTTAACTTTGAAACATTGTTTTTTTTTTTAAGTTAACAAATGAGACATTAAGCATAATGTTATTTGTTTGTTTGTTTTTCAATTTCAATAAAGCACTCTTTTTTTTTTTACATTTTGGTCAATACAAACTTCAGTAGATTGAGAAATTAAAGTATATGACAATGTGTGGCCACTGAGGGGAGCCAACACAACCGTTAAAGTTCAAGTTGATGAGTGAAATAGTTTGTGTGCATGCTTTATTATCACAGTCCTGTTATGCTCTGACTTGCCATTTAAACAAAGTCACAGTTATCCTTAATAATTCTAAAACCTTACATTTACTTGAGAAGTCAAATTTCATAAGCTATAAGTATATATTTTTAAGATTATATATTTATATATTTTTTGTTTAATATATATATATATATATATATAATGTTTTATTGGTCAAAAGTTTGGAAACAATACTTAGGCCTATATATATATTATGCTCATCAAGCCTGCATTTATTTGATCAAAAATACAGAAAAAAACAGTTATATTGTAAAATATTATTACAATTTAAAATAATGGTTTTCTATTTTAATATAGCCTACTTTAAAATAGAATTTATTCCTGTGATGCAAAGCTGAATTTTCAGCATCATTACTCCAGTCTTCAGTGTCACATGATCCTTCAGAAATCATTCAAATTTGCTGATTTGATACTCAGTTATTATCAATGTTAGAAACAGTTTTTGCTGCTTGATATTTTTTTATAACCTGTGAAACTTTTTTTTAGGATTCTTTGATGAATAAAAAGTAAAAAAAAGAAAAAAGAACAGCATTTATTCAAAATAGAAATCGTTTATAACAATATAAATCTTTACAATCACTTTTTATCAATTTAACACATCCTTGCTGAATAAAAGTATTAATTTCTTTCAAAAAAATAAATAAAAATGACTGACCCCAAATTGTTGAGGGTATATTGTTACAAAAGATTTCTATTTTAAATAAATGCTATTCTTTAAGTATAAAAAAGTAAGCAGCAAAAACTAATGTTAACAAATATAACTTTTGATTTTAATAATGTATTAGTAAATGTTCAAATTAATATGATCTAAGACTCGAATAAATGCTGTAAAAAGCATGGTCCATTTTTTGTTAATTAATGTTAACTAATAAAACCTTATTATAAAGTGTTACCCATTTTTTAAACATAAACCTCATAACTTTTTTTAATTCGTGCTTACTTTGTGCTCATTCTTTGTGCAATGAGAAAACAAAATCAAGATATATTCTCTGACAACATCTTATGTAGTTTTGCTTCTCAAATAAGTATGTATTGTTTTCTAAAAAAACTTTTCTCTCACCCCTCCACCCATTTTTGGTGTGAAAAAGGAGTCGAAACATTATGAACAGGAAATGCGACAGCTGTAAGTTTCTCAACTGACAGGAAAGCATACAGGCAGTTGTACTCCGAGTGAACCTCAGTGAGGCCATCTGTGGTTTTCAGTACATGGGTCGAGAGAGGCCATCCTGAAACCCTGTGTTCATTAGCACTTCTGTTTTCAAATACCATCAGTGATCACTGTTGGACCTCTGATGCCAGATTCAACGGGTAAGTTCCTTTGAAAGTATTTCTAAGGCTTTTTTTTCTACTGTTGTCTGAGAACAGTTACCGGTACTATGGATCTTTGATTTTTCTTTTTCTTTTATGCACCTTGTTTTTCTCCGGATGAGTCTTGTTCGTTGTATTATCCATGTGTGACCAGGATTTGTGCGCTTTTGATGAAAATGAAAAACCAGTGACACCTCTCACATCTAAACCATTCTCTGCTTTATTGATTCTGTTTCCTTTGCCGCTCATGCCGTTGCCTCATTTTCAGACTGAAAAAGAGAGGGATCAAAGAGAGGAGTGGAAAATTAAGTGGGGGGGAAGGAGGGGCTGTGGAGAACAGTGAAGTAGAAAGGAATGGAGAGCGTTTCATCGGATCAGTCAGCCAGCGTGGATGAGCTGGTGGAAGCCTGCATCAAAGCCTTTGGTCAGTGCTCATATTTGCTTCTTCCTTCTCTTGTGTAAACAATCTGATCAGCCATTCGGAACAGCACTGGCTTTTTCAACTGTGTGCTTGTGTCTGTTTATTAATATTCCCTCCCACACTCTTCAATATTTCTCTGTAGCTATGGGGTCTTCGAGCAGGGACCCCCTATTACTATACAATAATCTTTTAGGGATGCACTGGAAAAAATGGTAACCTAAAAATGATAACATCTAAGTTAGAGGGATAGTTCACCCAGAAATAGAAATTCTGTCATCATTTACTGACCCTCATGTTGTTCCAAACCTGAATGAGTTTCTTTCTTCAGCTGAACACAAAATACGATTTTCTGAAGAATGATGGTACCCAAACAGTTGATGGACCCCATTGACTAAAATAATATGGAAGTAAATGGGGTCCATCAACTGTTTGGTTAAAGACATTCTTTGAAAAATTCTCTTTTGTGTTCAACAGAAGAAAGAAATTCCTACAGGTTTGGAACAACATGAGGGTGAGTAAATGATGACATAATTTACATTTTTGGGTGAACTAACCCTTTAACTGGTTTTATTCAAAACCAAAATATAATTTAATATTGCTGAATCAACCTAAATACATTAAGTTATACCAACAAAATATTTTTGTATGGGTTAAAACAAGTTAAAAACAGCTCTTTAAGGTGACAATTGCAGGTTACCACTTTACAGTGTGGTCTATAATAACTTGCATTTCACTTGATACATTTTAATGTGGGATGGACAAAGACCAATTTAGCTGAACTCTAGCTTTTAGACCTTTTGGTTGAATTTAGCTTAAAATGTTTGTTTCATTTAATGTATATTACATTTTTATAAGAGCAGAAATGTTCAAGCTATTAAATGAAAATCATTGGCTAATGGACTCATTTTAATTCATGTGCAAATCGCTGTCTGGTTTTCTGTCTTCCTCACAGACAATGAAGGCGTTCTGAAGGAGACGTTTCGTGTGCGAATGTTTCTCACCATGCATCCCTGGTTCCTGTCATCCAGTGACCTAGCCAAGAAACTCATGCACAAGTATCCTCCTTCCTAAGACCTGTCACATTATACTTTCTTAGAACTCTGCATTTCAAATAACTAGCATTAAAGTCAAATACCAAAAAAGAAATGCAACCCTTTGTACATTTAGTTTCCGATGTGACAGGCCGGCTTTTATGCTAGACATTTAGCACTTAGTACAGTCGGCCATGGGTTTGGTTTGTCATTTATAGAGAGGGCTGACAGCATCACAAACTGTTTCCATCACTCTCCTCACAGCTGATAATAGTAATGAAGTGGAGCTACCTTGACAGTATTACAGGTCTCAGGAACAGGACTGTTCTGCAAATCGCCAGTCTCAGATTTGTCATCTTGTCAAGTAGGTTAAAGACCCATTTGTTCACCTTGGGTTTTTTTTACATAGACAAAAGCTTAAAGTCCCCGTGAACCGGAAGTTGCAAACGACTTTTCTCCAGTGTTGTGACGTATTTCCGAGAGAAACGGAATACTAAATGAGGCAAAATGGTGGGCGTGGCTTTTTTCCCAACTAGCACCTGATTGGATCTAGAAAAGTAGGTGTTTTCATTCAGCCTGTCTACTGTCAGTTGGAGGGGCGTGATTATGGATGTTAAGAAGACGCCTAAACCGTGAAACCTACGTCATCAGGCAAGGTCCTCCAACGCAGAGGGGAGGGGAAATTTCAGATTTTGATTAAAGATTACGAAGCCAAAAAATTTTTTGGTGTGGATTGACTTGCATGGATGAATTGTTCACCACAAAACGATCAATTTAGGCAAACAAAGTAAGTATGGTCAATTTTGAATTCATGGGGACTTTAATAACTGTAAACTACATGGCGGCTAAAAGCGCAACACCCAAGGTTTGTCTATTTCAGTTACACCCAATGCTAACAAGTGCATGAAATCAAGTACAGCACTATCATTCAATAAACCTTTTTAGTAGAGTGGAGCGTACCTTTTCACTTCCAGTATCATACCCGTCTGAATGTAAATGGACTTTTCACACAGATCTTAACCCCATTATCATCTTTTAAAACCCGTGCCATTTTTGGAGTGGCTATGGCAAGCTAGCATTGAAAGCATGAGATCCCACCCTCACTTCAGAGCGTTTCCAAAAGCCACACCTTCAAAACACATGAATGCACACAGCAGAGTTTGCAAGTTTGCAAAGCGTCACGAGACAAGAGACGGCGATAAACTACCTCATGTCTCAAAGCACATAACATTACCATAATAATGAACATAAAAGAGCACTGACCTGTACCATCTGACTGCTGCAGATTCATTTCATTCGAACCAAATGCAATGATTGGACAAACATTTTATGGGCCATCCACAGACGATATAGCCTACATATAAATACATTTAGACCACTTAACTTTTAGTGATTGCTATAAGGATGTGAATTAGACATTCAGCCAGCATAACAAAAAATGTTTCTGGAACAAATCGCATACCCTGCCTTTAGCAAGCGGCGCTTTTAACCCTGTTATGTGAAACGTGTGAAAGGAGGAGGTGAGATTAGAACCTAATGTTTGGCAACCGACAACCAATCATAAACCGAACAGCGTTGGCTTCATTAAATAATTCATGGTATAGGCTACACTGCGGTCAGAAGCTTTCTCACGCTGTAAGTTGTTCGCTGTTCGCTGTTCGTTCCAGAGTTTGAGGGAAAACGCTTTGTGTAATTTTAGCAACACATTATTTGCTGTTTGATAACGTAGCAAAAGGCTAATCATATTAATTATCATTATGTACACGAGTCGTAGAGAGCGATACATAAACGCATTAATAATCATTCTGATACATCGACTTGTTGACGAACCTTTATGAGTGAGTGGAGGTGGGACTAATTTGCATATGGTTCTGCGAAGCAAGGGTGTAGAGTTACATTCATGCTATTTTAAGGCATGAATAATTTTTCCCACAGGAAAAAAACATATCAATATGCCATTTTGGTGATCAAAGATTGGGTTTAAACTTTAAGGGATAAAATTATTGAGGGCACTTTAAAAGTTTAAAATAAAGGCGGTAGAAAGCAGCGTTATTATTGAGTTTAATTAGTCATAGGTGTGTTTTGTATGGGTTTAAAGGTTACAATGCATTTACAGTTAAATAAGATAAAAGACATCTAATATAACCAAATTGTTAATTTTCATATTAAACATTGATAGACAATTATCACTAAATTTAGCTCTTTCGAATGACATTTTATATGAATTTAATTTAATTTATATGTAAAAACAAATATTTTGACATACTACATGTATGGTAGTATTTTATGTCATTATACCAATATGCACGACTTTTTCATCTGTGTTTACTGACGTTATGTTCCGAAGCAATTGCATTTTGTCAAAGAGAAGTGAACTTCGACTGATATCCCGTGCTCAGGAAATGGGGGGCAGTGAACAATGAAGCAACTCTTTTGCAGCTTCTCACGCATGACGCTGGAATCTAAAACCTTGATGCTCAAGTTTGAAAAAATATATTTATTTATTTTCCATTCCACTTCCACAGTTCCTCAGGGGACACGTTTTAGGGGCCACAAAACATGTTTTTGCTTTTTAAAATGTGAGACGCAAAGCAATGAAATCCAACCTATTTTAAAGGAGCTGTATGTAAGATTGTGGCCAAAATTGGTACTGCAATCACTTTCAAATTACTGTAGAGCGGTGTATCCCCTCCCCCTCCCCCCTGACTCGAGGTTGCCAGATAGGCTGCAGGATCCAGCAGGAACATAGGCTGCTACAAGGAGCTTTCAACTAGAGCAGAGCTGGCAACCCGGATGCCGAAACACTACTGACTTCGTGATTGGTAGATAGGTGAAGAGTGGGGCTTCAGGCCAAAACACAAGATGACAACATCAACATCAGTTGAGGGCTGCAACTTCACTTTTTAAATGACAATATCGTGGCCGTACTACTGTTGTCAGTGATATAATTATTTGAAATGAACATGATTTCTTAATGTCTACAGACACATCAGGGCCATTTTATGATTAATTGAAATACATTTCTTACATACAGCTCCTTTAACTTAAAACTTAAACATGCGATATGCAAGTGTGCACTGCTCACAGTGTGCGCACATCTGTCTTTCGCGTTTATACATATAAAAACAGTAAAGACGAGTTATGTGTGAATTGAACAGCCCCTTAAAGAGGACCTACTGCCTATTAATGCTAATGTTTTTGAAATTACATGCCAAAAGCATCTATGGCTGTGGTGTTTATGTGTCCAAATACTATTTGGCCATCTGGTGTATAATTCTTGTAAAGACGTGATGGTCTGTGTCATAAGGCAGCTGGGTTGGATCACAGAAGTGTATTGTGAATTCACATAAAACAGTTGAGGCAAGACTATTCACTGAAAATACTCGTCCTCCTGATGTCTTGCCCAGACCTATTTCATGCACAGCTACACTGTGTCATAGTTCTCTCTGTCTTCCGTCTCTTTTTCTCTGTCAGGTACTGGATATCTGAGTTCCCAGCTGAGTTTGACCTGAACCCCGCACTGGCTGAGCAGATCCGAGGTCTGAAAGAGCGACTGGAGCAGAATGGAGATGTGAGGCGTAGTCTGCTCATCGACATAGACAGCATGTGAGTCACAGGGGCACAGTATTCACCCAAAACGCTGCTCCTTTGATACGGAGGGCTGGAGAATATGGACTGAACATTACAAACAAGCAGCATGTCTGAGACACTCAAACAGCTGAGAAGTTATAGGTCAATGACAAATAAGAATGTCAAAGATGATGAAAAAGTATATATATATATATAGTATATATATATATATATATTAGGGTGCATCAAAAAACACAATTCTTGAATTTTGATATGGCTGGGTGCTAAAAGTGTTCCAATATATGTAGAAACAACACATGCAAAATATTTTTCCAGTACATGATGATTTAGGGGTGCCACCGTACATCTGTTTTTGTTGGATAAAGTGGTTAACAGTGCTCAATGGTCGCCATTGATATCTGAGGTAAACAATACTACAGGTCAAGAAATCTGAGGTGATCTTTCTGTTTGAGGTGATCTTTCTGTGTTGGGTATGTATTATTACATATTACTATCATATCTGGAATTGTATCTTTGTGTACTTATTTATCATAAGTCATTTAAGTCATATTTATAGGTATTTGGTGCTCATTACATCTAGCTATGTTAGCTAGCAACAGTTTGCTAACCACAGTTAGCTATCTATGTTAGCTAAGCTATTAAGCTTAACATCAACAGTATTCTAGAGTGGACAATGTCATATTCACAGTATAGAGGACTCATGTTTATTGAGAGTAGCATTGTAGTTGGTGGTAGACTTAGTCAATACTAACAACAAGCTGCGGAAAATCGCCCAGGCCAATCGCTCCAGTGAGACTACAGCGAAACAATTGGAGAAAATGGAGTGCAGACTTGATGCCACATTGCCGCTGTGGCCTCCAAATGTTGAAAAGCTGATTGATAACCCAGAAGACCTAGCTTTCTTGGCCAGCATGAAGAATGAGAGAGTGGCCACATTTGGTGTATTGGACAAAAAGCTGCAGCTCAAGAGGCGAGAGGAGCGTCAAGCTGCCGCAGCAGCCAGGCAGTCCCGCTGTGAAAAGGAGCTGGAGGAGATGACGGCAATGTCCAGCTTGGAGTCGGAGAGTGATGAGGAGACAGCGGAGGATACTAACACAGTCTATCCACCATCTGAGGGCGAACTATCCCACAAGCATAAGAAGACTGGAACAAACGTCTTCATTCCACATGACATCCTTAGCCGACCAAGTGTCGTGTCAATGGCTACAAGGTTGAAGATGTCACCAATGCAATAGGCTGCCTTCACACGTGGTCTTGTTGCAGAGTCAGGCGGTGAATGTACACATCTCTCTGCATCTTACGCAAATGCTGACGAGCAAGACGCCAAGTGCTGGAGACAATCAGTGAGGAACAGCACAAGCAGTGGACACCACCTCCATTGTGCACCCTACATTGGGACAGCAAGTTAACACAGATGCTCAGCAATGTGCGCCAGTTGGAGGAGCATCTTACAGTAGTGGTTGGAGATACAGAGCGGTTGAAACTGCTTGGTGTCCCAGCGTATAAGAAGCAGACCAATGAGGCATGTGGAATGATCATTGCCCGGTTGACATGCAAGTTGCTGCAGGACTGGTGCTGCACTGACCAGGTTGTCAACATGGCATTTGCCACCACTGCGTCAAACACCGGCCATCTCACAGCAGCCTGCATTGCCATACAGCTCTCACTGGGCTGACCACTGCTTTGGTCTAGTTGCCAGCACCACATTGGTGAGGTCCTCCTGAACCAGGTTTTCACAGTGAGGTCAATGTACGTGCAATGAACGTGGTCAATGACTGTGTCCCGAGCGTGGCATCAAGCTCACATCCGACTTCGTCGCAGTGGCAAGGAAGGAGCAGAATGTGAAGGAAAGAATGTGCTGCAGGCAGTTGAACATGACCGCAACATACAGCCAAACCTTCGCCACTGCAAACGCAAGCCAATCCCTGAATAGGACGGTTACTCTTGGGTGGCGGGTGGGGAGACATATCTGGGGGAGACGCACTGGTTAGGTTCAGAGTTCAGGTTCCATTTCCTCTCTCTTTGTCCCTGGTGATGTTGCTCAGTGGAGCAGACTCTGGCACAGACTGAGCAATTAAGTTTAAAGTTTGGTTAGTGTCAGCTCTTACCATTAGGCCCTGTTAGTTGCCAGTGAGTTAGCCACTAGACATCCATCCGACATCCATCACTGCTGCACAAAATTCAGGGTAAGGCCACGTGAACATGTCCCATTGACCTCCATTCATTTTGTCTATAGGACAAATGAATGGAGAATCTTGAAAGTTGAATTCTGAGAAATGCCCAAGTTGCCCAAATGGCAAACAAACAACTTTTACTTTTATAACCCTATAGAATATGTTACTGTATAAAAGTTCACTGTACTCAACATGTACACTGTACATTCCCAGGTCAACCTTTTGGCAATTAGACTAAAAATTGAAATTTCGCCAAAGTTCATGTGTTAGGTGGCACCCCTAAATCTCAATGGAATTCCTCAAAACTTTGCAAAAGTCATTTTTATGTTAATTGGAACAAAATGCAATGCAAGCCAAATTGATATTTTGAAATTAAAATTTCCCATTCAAATTTGATGCACCCTAATATATATATATATATATATATATATATATATATATATATATATATATATATATATATATATATATATATATATATATATATTAAAATCTACTTAAATATCAAATCAATATAAATCACTAATCCAAACTATAGCCAACATGATATATTGGCATACTGGCGAAAGAACAGAAATACAATGATACAATGTCTTGTTTGTTTTCCCTGTAGCCCATCATACGAATGGCGACGTCAACTAGATGAGACTGTCCAGAAGAAACGCAAGACCTCACTTCTTTTTGACCACCTTGATGCTTCCACCCTGGCTGAACACCTTACGTATATGGAGTACAAATCGTTTTGCAAAATTCTAGTAAGTCTCTTAATTTATAGATGCAGTATTAATCATATGTTTGTGCTTGTAATAGCATGACCTCAAGTCTTATTTCATATTGCAAATAAAAAAATCGGTTCCCCCTCAGTTCCAGGACTACCACAGTTTCGTGATGCACGGCTGCACGGTGGATAATCCTATTCTGGAGCGTTTTATTACTCTATTTAACAGTGTTTCCCAGTGGATCCAGATCATGGTTCTCAGTAAGCCTACAGCTCAGCAGAGAGCCACTGTCATCAGTGAATTCATCAAAGTGGCCCAGGTTAATCCAACTCGCTTGCTTGCTTATATTTAAAGACATGTAATCTGTTTACAGCGGGATCCAAAAGTCTAAGACCTCATGGAAGATCTGTGATTCAGAATCTAATTTAACTGAAAACAAACAGAATGTTTAGTTTTAGGATTTTAACATTTATATATGTGTGTGTGATCATGTGATCTATAGAAAAGGGAAAAGGTCAGATGTTTTTGTTAGTGCGGCTGTCAGTCTAAATTCATGGTAATTTTTTTTTCCAATTTTATGATGATAAAAAATAAAATGATTAAATTATAAAATGCAAAATAGAACTGATGGTCTCAGATTTTTGGACCCCACTGTTTTTATAAGGTCTGGTCTTATAGTTGGTGTGTGTGTGTGCGTGCGTATGTCTGTGTGTGTGTGGGTGGGGGGGTTCAGGTATACCCTACTTTATCGGGACAAAATGCTCACTCAAAGATGTCAATATCTCTTGTCGGGAAATTCTTTTGGTTCTCATGAGGAAAACCGCTTATAAAGGGTTAGGGGATATAATGTACCGCTTGTACAGTATAAAAATCATTATGTCTATGGAATGTTCTCATAAAACATAAAATTGCATGTGTGTGTGTGCACAGAAGTTACTGCAGCTGCAGAACTTTAACACACTGATGGCTGTAGTGGGTGGACTCAGCAACAGCTCCATTGCTAGACTCAAAGATACCCAGGCGCTCATCGGCAGCGAGACGAGCAAGGTAAGGACTGCCAGAGAGCAGCTTTTATCAACACACCTCCAATACTGGCGAGAAAAACAAACAGCTGAAACACTCCAAATCTGGCAATGGGAGATAAGATTCTTAAGTTCCACTTTGCTTTAGGTGGCTTGAGTGCCATTTTCATACTCTCTGCCAGATTGCACAGAAATATCAATACTCAAGTCAAGTGCTCTGTTATCAGGCAACCAAACATGAGCAGAAATATCTTTTACCCATGAACCAACCTCTGAAATCCCCTTTCCTCATATTTCGGCTGCAGCGACCTTCACCCTAACTGATGACCTCCTCTGTGTTTAATCAGGTGTTTGATGGATTGGTGGAGCTGGTCACTTCCTCTGGAAACTACAGTCGCTACCGTCAGCGATTCTCTGAATGTTCGGGATTCCGCTTCCCCATCCTCGGGGTGCATTTGAAGGACCTGATTGCTGTCCATGTTGCCCTGCCTGATTGGTTTGACCCAGAGAAGACTAGGGTCAACCTAACCAAGACCCATCAATTGTATGCCATCCTGGAAGAGCTGGCGCTCATTCAGAGCACTCCACCCAATATAGAAGCCAATTCAGACCTGCTGAATCTGCTTATAGTGAGTCTATTACGGGTGGGACGGGGTTGCTGTAATCAAAATCCAGTAATGGCCAAGCTGAATTTTCAGCATCATTACTCTAGTCTTCAGTATCACATGATCCTTCAGAAATCATATGCCGATATGGTGTTCAAGAAATATTTCTTATTATTATCAATGTTGGAAATGGTTGTGCTGCCTAATATTTTTTTATGAAAACCGCAAAACTTTATTTCAGAACTCTTTGATTAATAGAAAGTTAAAAAGAACATCATTTATTTTAAATGTTTATATATATTTTTTTAAAGAAATAAGTATAAATAAATCATGACAGAATTTGTACTTTTGAGTTAAATATTTCTTTTAAATATAAACATTTTCAGTGAATTGATATTTAAGCAGGAAACATTGAGGTTGATACAGCCTTTGAACGATTTGTCAAACCTATATCAGTTCTCAATTATTGTTCATCATTTGCATTTCTTCTGTACCTGTCTAGGTGTCTTTGGACCAGTACCACTCAGAGGACGAGATATATCAGCTATCTTTACAGAGAGAGCCTCGCAGTATCAAACTATCAGTGAGTCACACCAACTGCTCAGATAGCAAATCAGTGGCCACCATGAGGTAGAACCACCAATTACAACCACTCATGGCACAATTTGACAGATTAATTTTTCCATATTGCTTGCATAATCCACTTACGTAGACTTCATGCAACGGACGGCAGTCATTTATCCATATCTACTGGTGCCTTATTTCCACTTGCTAAGTGAATACACCATTGATTTCTGGCTTCTTAGACTTCCAGCTCAAAGTCACAGTCTCCCCTAATAGAAGAGTGGGCATCTTCAGTCAAACCCAAAGCAGATCCAGCGATTATCAACAAGCACATTGAAAAAATGGTGGAGGTATGTGACATGCACTACTTTCAATTAATTTATTATAAATCTCAGATAAACTGATTGCACAGAATATAGTTTTGGAATAGTATAAGGATAAAGTAAAGTGAGCCAGTCTTTATCACAAAATGAATGCAATAATGAGCTGTGTAAAACTAGCACAAACTAACTATGTTGGATATTGGTTACCAGTTATAAAGTTTGCGTCATTATATATTATTTTATATCTGATATATATATATACTATGTGTTCGATAAAACAGTATTGTTGTACTGTATCACAGTGACTCCTTCTGTTGATTACATCAACAGGTGGCGAATAGTGACTTTCTTTCATTCACTCAGCTGATTCAAAAACACTAATTCAGTAAGGAACGAAATAAGTGACTGACGTTATGAGTGAGTCATTGAATCAGTCACTCAACCAATTTGTTCAAAAACACTGATTAATGCAAAATGAAACAAGTGACTTACCTTATGAGTGAGTCATTGAATCATTCACTCAACCAATTCATTTAAAACAGATGTATTCAAACATAAAAAGATAAAATAAAGTGATTGACCTTTTGATTGAGTCGTTGAATCATTCACTCAACCGATTTGTTCAAAAACATTGATTCATTCAGGAACATAAGTGGGAAACTTTCAAACTGTTCATTCTTATTTTTGTTTTGGAAATTTTTTCATTTGGTGGAGCAAAAATAACTGCTAATTTTGTCTCTGAAATGTAAGTTACACTGTATTAACTTTATATTTATAGAATGGCTGAATAAAAGAAAGATCACACTATTGCAAACATTTGACAAGTATTCCAGAGAGCTGTGTACTAAAGGATTTTGCGGTGAAAAAGAACTAATCGAAGATGTCTTATTTTCAGTCAGTGTTCCAAAATTTTGACACGGATGGCGATGGCAACATTTCCCAAGAAGAGTTTGAGATCATCAGGAGCAATTTCCCTTACCTCGGCAAGTTTGATGAACTGGACCAAAACCAGTGGGTTTATCAAGACATCTGTCCAGTTTATCTAGAGGAATTGTTTCCCCTCATTTGTCAAAGTCTCCAGTACAGTAAAGGTCCCATCTTTCTCTTTTTCATTTTCTCTCCCAGGGACTTTAAAATTAGCAGAGAGGAGATGATTGAGTACTTCACAAAGGCGAGCTCCTTACAGAACTGTAAGATGGGTTTTGTTCACACTTTTACAGAGACGAGCAGCGTCAAGCCTTCATTTTGTCGGCACTGCTCTCGCTTGGTGAGTACACATTTTATTTATGGCTCAAACTCTTTATCTTCATCTCCAACGTGATGACAACCCACACATAAGAGGAAATAAGATCTTTTCAGTGTCATGAGAAACAGACATCCAGATCTGTATTTATTTCAAAAAGCACAGATGTACATAATGCCTATTTTATTATCACTCACTCATAAGCCAGATTGTATTTATGGCTTGCATTTGTTCATATTTGTCTCTGCTGTCAGAAGTTTATGGTGCCTGTGCTGTTTTCGCTCAGTGTGCAGCAGTGTGTTTTAGGGTGTGTCTGCGGGAAAGATGTTGTTGTGTTCACAGTCGGTACTTGGGTGTAGATAGTAACCACTTCCTATTTTCTAATTTCCTGTCGAGATCCACCCCAGAACAGAACCTGTTTTCAAAAGAACATGTTCTTTTTTTTGAACCAGCATTTTTTTAAATGTTCAGTGAATGTAATTTAACATGTCATTAAATTAAAGGTATATTTGTCTTCATTCAAATATTTACATATAAAGAAATAAGCAGTATTTCTGAAAAATGTAACATTATGTCAACTCACATGACATATAGAATATGTCATATCATTAGAGCAATGAAACAAGAACTAACTGTATTTTAATTTGGTAGAAAACTAAATTAAATATACTATATACACTAGCTTTCAAAAGTTTGGGGTTAGTAAGGGGTCAGTTTTTGTATAGAAATTAATACTTTTATTCAGCAAGGATGCACAAAATTGATCAAAAATGAATGTTGTACAAATAAATGCAGCCTTGGTGAGCATAAGATACTTCTTTTAAAAAGATTTTTTAATTCTTATAAACCCCAAACTTTTGAACTGTATTGTTAGATTATTAATTTCTTAAATGTTACACTCAAATCAACATGTCTGGATTTCTATACATCCAATTATGAATAAAAAATATTAATATAGTTACAACTCAAAGCGTCTTACAATGTCAACTGACTCACTGGATAGAACAAAATGTTTACAAACTGTGTTATATACCTCATTTTAATGAACTGAAGCACCCAAAATCCATTTCAAACTGACTTTTTTCCATGTTTTTCTTATGTGAGTTATTTTATATATGCTAATTCTTGCAGATATGGGGATTTTTCAAACAGCGATGCAAATGCAAAGGTATGAGACCAATTGAACTGTGTGTGTTTTTATGTGCGTGTGTGTGTGTGGCATTGTGACCCTCCTCTAATTTTTTTCAGTGTGTGGGGTGAGCTGTCATAAAGACTGTTGTAGTCGTTTGGCCATTGAGTGTCGCAAGCGGGTACAGAGCGTCAGTTGTCACAATGACGTTTCCTTTAAGGCCACGCGCTCATTCAGCTTTCCGCCTCCCACCAGCACAGAGCAGATAGCAGAGTCCCCAGGTAAATACAGTATATAGGCTATATATATATATATATATACATACATATATACAAAGTTCTGTCATGAAACTCTAGATGGCACAGGCTGATAGGTCCTGAACTCAATTTGTTTGCACACAAATCATTATCTACATCTACGTTATCTACATCTACGTTCTACATCGTTATCTACATAGCGCTTGCTGTTCAAATACTTAGCATTGTTTGCTGTTAGCAGTCTGCAGCGCGCTTTCAGAAACACTCCACCTTCCCCAGCTCCACCTGTATAGATCTGCTAAGGGATTATTTCATGTATGTTATATGTGCAGCAGCAGTGTGTCATGTACAGTATGGCAGTAGCAAGTCTCGGTACTTGCTCTGCAGCAGCAGCAGCAATAATCAGCATACAGTAGTGTCCAAAAGTGAAAAGTGATTCCTCCAGCCTATAGGAAAATTGACATCGTCACCCTTTATTCAAATATTATTTAAGATTTGTTAAAGACTTTGTATGCATATTGCGTTGTGCTTGGAGTCAATTGTTTTATTTGTGACAACGCAATGGTTGGGCAGGCTGTCATACAAAGAAATTATAAATACATGCAAAAACAAGAGAGAACCAACGAAATATTAGTAACTGATCATGTTGTAGTCAACGCATGCTTTTTTCCTGGGAGCAAATAATTTCCAAAACATTTTTGTGAGATATATATATACCTTAACCAAGTTAAATTATTTTTAAAATCAAAATGTGACTCGTATTTTTATTTACAAAGAACATATGTATTCTACTTACAAATAAAATAATCAACAATATATTACTGTAAACGTGCATACCCGCAACTAAATTCACTTAAAATTAAAAAATATTTTACTGTAAAGGTCCATGTATTGTCAAGCTAAATATAAATTCAGTGTGATTGAAAAAACACATTTGTAATTCAATTTAAAAAATGCAACAACAAAAAAAAAGCATTTCCATTAGTGGTCTTTACCCAGTAGAAACCAGATCCTGTCTAGTGTACCGTACTATTTATCTTTTGAAGAATAAACGATGATAGTAACTTGCAGTGACTTTCAAGCTTCTCTCTCTCTCTCTCTCTCTCTCTCTCTCTCTCTCTCTCTCTCTCTCTCTCTCTCTCTCTCTCTCTCTCTCTCTCTCTCTCTCTCTCTCTCTCTCTCTCTCTCTCTCTCTCTCTCTCTCTCTCTCTCTCGCTCTCTGTACCTCCACAGTCATCACAGACGGCTCTCAGGAGGAACAGGATGAGGTTTTTGATGTCCACCTTTGATGAGGTAAGAAAAGAAGATGCATATTGCAAATACATTCACCTCGTGGTTGAGAGCTTTTTCATTAAGTCTTTCTCATAAGAGAAATCCATCAACTGGCATTAGATACGTTCCTCTCCTCTCTATTTCCATAGGAACATCCTGGAGCAAATCCATAAGCAACCGCAGCAGCAGAGAGCGAGCAGCACTATTCTCCAAAGCAGCGTGTGTTTGTTCATGCGTTTGTTGTCCAATGTGATCCATTCTCTTGAATTCTCATTCTGTGATTTCTCATGGGTTGTTACTCAGAAAATAGTACATGGTTTTCAAATAAATCAGAAAAAAGAACTACTGTTAAGTTGCAACATTTTTGAAGAGGTCATATATTTAATTTTTTCCCCCTGCAGTTTCCTGAGCTTATCATGGAGGTAAAGGTTTTTTAGTAACACAAGACATGCTGTGGCGTGATTGGAATGGGACAAAAAAAAAAAAAAAAAACTAGCACATCACACTTCACAATTCACTTTACAGAATAGTACAAAGTGTTTTTTCTGTACCACTTAATATATATATATAGGCTATATATATAGGCAATATATATATATATATATATTATATACATGCATATATACAGGATGTGATCATCTGACACTGCGCATAAGTGAGAATTGTATTATAATCGAGAATACTATTTAAATTGGAATTCATGTAACTGCATGATTTCATTGATATCTTTAATTCTCATGATATGAATTATGAAGAGAGGACAAGGTCAAATGAATGACGTGTTGCAGACACCATTGTACCTTGGCCATCTCTCATCACAGGCTTTAATTTCACACCAACAGAAGGCGCTGTTGTTCTAAATTGAGAGACTGATATGACAAGATCTTGTGCTGCCTCATTTGCGTTCTGTTTTTATGTTTATATTATTATTATGCAGATGAATCATTTGTTTTCTGTGATGTACATTTAGTTGTTGTTGTGTGTTTTTTTTAGCCGCGGAGATGTATAATAAAATAGAACATTTCATCACATTGATAGTATAGTCTGCTGTCTGTTTGTCATTATTTTTTATTTTATTATTTTATCATAAAAAGAGATGACATTGTCAAGGGATGTTGCTGAGGAAACGGCGTCGTCGACATATCCACTGTCCATCAAACAGCTATAAGCTGAAAACGGAAGCAAGAAAAGCAAGTTTCAAGGTTTTTTTATTGCACTTGACTATAGTATTTACTGCAAGTTGTGTGAATCAGCTGAAAACCCGAGATCAGGGTTAATCTAGCAGGTTGACCTTTAGCTGCAAAGCTACATTTATGTTCACAGTTAAGTTGTGCTTTCCACTTTATCAACATAAGCTTTTAAAGTTATTTTTTAACACTTCGGTGAACCGTGTCACTTAGAGAGAGAAAATTGTTATGAAACCACAGTCGGCGGTGTGGGCGGGGCTTAAATCACGGTTCAAACTCAAGGCTTCTATTACTGTCTTACTCAAGCAGTTCTGCGTAGACTGTAAAGAAAAAAAAAACAAGTTCTGTGGCATGTCAAATGCTTTGCAAATGCAAATTCACTGAGAATAAAAATATATATGGTTACTGGCTTCGAAAAATTACGCCAACATATCAGGCATTGGTATTGTGTGGAGCCTGTATATTTCACAGTTCATAACCGTAAGTTCTGTCAGGTCCATTAAGTCAAGAACACACAGACAAAATAATTAAGAATTAATTTGAATAGATTGCAAACAGGTTGATGTTCCTGAATTGAAATTTGGCGGTATGGCTCTGTTCAGGGAGTCCTCTGACCTTTCATGAGCACCATGAAATAGCAGAGAGTCAGAGGACAGCAGCAGCAGCATTAGGGAACGCTCACACAGTTTTAGACTGTGAGAGCTAAAATATCCCCCTGTGAACAGAGCAGGCAACATGACATAGCAAATGCCACGTTATGCATAAGGAGGAGCTGGGGAGGTGGCGGGCAGCAGAAGCGAGCAGCGAGCCAGCGGAAGCGAGCAGCGAGCATGTATGAGCAAGGTGAATGAGCTTTAAATAGGGCGCCTTGTTTGAGCTTTGGCCATTGAGCAGCGAGGGGAGTTAACCAGCTAATGCAGCTCAGCTGGAGCAGATCAGCTGACGGGACAGTGTTGATAGCAAATAGCATAAGCAGCGGCTTGACTACCTGGCCTGCCAGAACTGACGCTGACGCTCAATTTATATGGGTAACACTTTAGAATACTGTTCCACCAAAAATTAACAACTACACAGGAACAAATGAATAACGCACTCTTAACATTCAAGTCACTACTATTAACAAACAAGAAACATTGATTAACAAATTAGTAGGCCTAAGAAATAGCTAGTGCTCAGTTGAATGTGGTAGTTCACTAATAGCAAACTATTTTTTCATACATCCCAGAGGACTACTAATAACTACTATATACATGTTCATAATTCACATGAATAATGCATAATGTATAGGCCTAATTAATTCTAAAGTGAAGGTCATGGTAACCCACTATGATTCAAATATCCCTTACGAAAAATAAGTATTTCAAGTACTTCAAGTTAATTTTATGAAGTATACTTAAGTAATATCCAAGTATATTTTTAAGTATAGCCTACTTTATGTAGTAAGTATACTAATATCAATGTGTACTTGTAGTAAACTTGTCCAGGTAAGTGTACTATTTCAATACTGCTTGACTAAATTGGCCCACTTTCAAAAGTATATGTTTAAGTGTACTATAAGTGTAACAGTACAAAAACTTTAAACAAACTTTAAGTACACAACTAGGTTTCTCATTTGTAATGCATTTGTAATACAACTGAACTTATAAGTATAGTAGTAGTTTACTATTTTAATACTTCAGCGTATTAAATAAACTTCAATGGAGAAAAGTGAAGCCAATTAGAAGCAATCTCTTCCTGATGGCTGAGCGTACTGCGCAGGCTCAAACTGAGCTTGATGACGTAGATGTGATGTGAGTAACCTGTCTGACAGTTGTAAGTCTTCTAGTAGCTGTGCCAAGAGGAATCTGAATCATTCCCTTCCGAATCTTGCAGAGACTGAGAGCATGAGTAAAAGCTGTCCATGAGCTAGCAGCAGGATCAACTTTATGACTCTCTATGGGCTTCTCCCTTGACTTTATGCCTCCACGTCCCCCCGATTGCCTGCAAGCTTCTCCTCCTGTCTATAAGGTAATTTCTCAAGCCTACTGTGCGACAGAGAGTCGCGTGTTATGATGCAATCGTTAGCCTATTTTTACAAATATTGCTTCTACGGGGCCATAACGTAACATACAAAGTAATGGAGCCTTTTATACATAGTCGTGTTTCTTTAGAAATAAATAATGGAAAAATGGAGTCTTTGGACGCCTCAAATGTAAAGTTATTCGCTGTCAAAGTGACGCCAAAATGAATGGGGGTCAATTGACTGCTAACAGTAGGTGATGGTCTGCTACAATGGCGGCCCCCAAGGGAAGCTTCAGTTTCCGGCTGATGGATTACCCCCTTGCTTCTATCAATTGTTTTAGCTTCTTCTTCTCATGTGTTTTGATCCAGAGATTCTGTATTAGGAGATGTGTCATAGCGCCCTCTATACAAAATATATCACCCCGTATACGAAATCATTCAGAAGGATTTACTTATTTGGATCAGTATTCTAAAGTGAAAAACATGATAACTCTCTAGAATAATATTATTATTGATTATTATTATTATTATTTTCCCCGGAGTTAGAATTAAGAACATTTTGAGCATGTAGCTGCCATGTGGCTTCAGTGGCAAGACTGTATGCAGCTTATCACTTTGTGGATACGAAAGATGATACTATAACCCCACACAAGGTCGAATATCAATATTTTCTTCTATTTCTGGAGGATTTTCGAAAGTGAGTAGCGAGAGGAAACCGCAGCAGAGGTCAGGGATGGCGTGGGTCTCGTGTGAGCCCCCAAGCGCCACTGATAGTTGCACCTGATACAGAGAGTCTCCACTACAGTTACCCTTGTCAGAGCATCTGCATGGAGCTCCTAATTCTATGGTATGGAATCAGCATGCTTAAGGGAACTATCTACAGCTTCATTTTAATAATCTACTCCTTAATTACAGACGAGAGAAGAAAGCCAGGCGTTCTGGTCCATTTTACTAATGTTCAATATGAAAGCGCCGCTCCACGAGACACTTAGGTGGCCCCAAGGGCCTCAAACACACACACACACACACACACACACACACACACACACACACACACACACACACACACACACAGAAATGCACACCCTCTCTTTATCAGCATATTGGATCAGCACCAGGGGACTAAAATTAACATTCATTAGTGGTTGCTCTGGGAAGGGTATATTTACAGGAGGAGTGCAGTATTGTTACGTGTGTGTGTGTGTGTGGTTTGTACATCATGCTGTGTGTTTGCCAGCCTGTAGGTTTTCCGTCCTTCACCGGCTCCGTCCCGCTTTGCAGCAGTCGTCAGCTGTCTGATGTCGTGCTTCATAATGACATCAGATTCTGCTGTAAGACCAGCCCATGTCACTCTCTCCGTTTGTGTTCATTCAGTCATTGACCTTCATAAACGCAAATGAGTTTATCTCTGTGATGGAAATTGCGCTATGATAAAAGCGAAAGGCCTTGATTGAGGTCAGAGGAGGGAATGAAAATGTAAGAGTTACTGAGATGAAGACGAGCCTGTCAGAAAAGATAGTTGGAGCTTTATGTCATGCTCCATTCTGGGCCAGTCACTTCACTGACATTGAAAAGAAGTCATCATTACTGGCCCAATTGTAATTTGTACTACTATCCTCATCTGAACTGCTCAGTGTACAGACCTTTCCCTCATTTAAATGTTGTTTATGCTAAAATGCTGCAGTTAATACAATTATTGATACTGCTGTGAGACCATTAAGATGAATATATTGCAGGATCTCTTTCTAACAGTGTTAAAGGTCACACTAGCGACCTTTACGTGCATGAATGTGGTTTGTGAAGAAGAGTCTGACCACTGAATTTGTATTGGAAAAAGACAATTAGCCACAAGATAATAAACATCACAGAGTGAATTTTTGGATAAGCATCAAACATGGAGAAAATAGCTTTGCATCATCCTGATCAATATAAAATGAATTTTAAGTATACAAACTACAATTAAGAAATTAAGTCGCATGATTTACGATTGTTACGGTGTGCAGGGAAGAAGAGAGACGAGGGTCTGATTCTCGAGCAGTCTTTATTCCACAAAAACAAAAAAAGATCAACCAAACAGGAAAGCACATGGCCATATACCAAAAATGAAAACATAAATCCAAAAGGAAGATAAGACCAAATCCACAGGGGGAACAGGAGACACAACAACTTTACAACAACTGTTGTTTAAAGACAACAACTGACAAACACAGACTGAGGGCATGTTTAAACGACAACGATGTACTAAAAACGAAAAAGTTTGGGATTTTAGCAGAAAT